TGGAAGTTATAGCTAAAACTAGTTAGTTATAGTTATTTAAATACAGAGCAAATGTGCATCTCTAATAGTAGGGGCTTTTACAAAGGCAAGCACAGCATGTCAAACACAATGCCAACTATATAAATATAACCATATATAATTTTAATTATTATATATTGTTGGGGCTCAGATGTTGGAATTCTGGGTATGGAGTCTGTGGGTCCCTCAGAAAGATTGTGGTGGAGGCTCCCCTTCAGCAGCAATTGGTGAGTTTATTAAAAAGAAAAAAAAAAAAAAAAACATTGGCATAAATGCAGGCAGGTAAAGAGCTACATCTCAGAAGAGCAGATTAGTTAGGGAAAAGGAAAGAAGGTAGGCAGACTTAAAGGAGAAGAAATACTTTTTTCCAGAACAACAGGTGTCCTTACATATTGCTTTTTGATGAAATCACTGTGGAATTGATCACCTTAAAGTTAGACTGGGTTGGTCTTCTATATCTAATAATCCTCTGTCCTCACCTCAGATGTCTGGAAACGTCTGTGGCCAGTTTACGTAAGACTCATCAAACACCCTTAGCTCCACTTCTGGTTTTTGACCTTGTGAAAATTTTCATCCTAAAATGTTTCACTCTAGTTTCCATCACATAGCACAAACTAGTCCTCTTCTAAATCAGCTATGCAGCCTGGGACCCTTCCTGCCTTACCCTGCCTATTTTCAATTAACACTGGCATGCCTCACACAGGCTTACTTTGTGATAAACAATTGACAAGCCTCAGACTTTTCCAAAGCTCAAGATTGCCTGATTGGAATACTAACTAGATAAGTTCAACACTAAGAACACAGAGATTTCAACTGCTGAATTCTAGGAACTACCTATGTGTCCCTGTGGTGAAAACAAGTCTATTGACATTTATATTACTTGTTTATCTACCATTCTCACCCAACCCCTAACTGAAGTGATAAAATACAGGTAGAAAATGGTAATATGTAAATAGAAGCAAATGAGATCGGGCTGACCATGTCATCTAAGGCTTTTTATCCAGTGTTTGTTACTTACAGTTGCACTGCCCGACTGTCCTGGTAACCAAATGTGAGCATTTCTAATATTGCTGGCAAGGCTAATGGTGCAGTTGGTGGTCATGGAAATAAATGATGTTAACTGGATGGGCCTGGGATTATGTCCATGATCTTATTCTCATAAACACAATGCGCTAACCAACTGTTGCTCATTCAAAGCCAACTGTGGAGCAAAGCCTTCTCCAAATTTCCTTTGCCCACCACGACAGTCTTGGCTGGAGGCTTGCTTTCATGCTTGACTGAACTGGTGAAGGTTGGCCAAGTCAGTGTCTCACCACTGACCTTACCATGACGGCTTTGCCCTGCCCAGAGCGGCCATCCCCAGTAAAATCATTCAGAGACTCTTTTGTCATATCCACACTGTTGGTCTACCCCTTATGAGGTAGTGTCTCCAAGGTCAGAATTAAACACATATTAACCAAAAAGCACATCAGGTGGAATCCACATTGTGAAATCATCATCTGGGTTAATAAATGTCTTCTGAAAGATTAATGGTGCTTTCTTTAGAGGAAGGCAGAAATGTACACTTCGTCACTGTCACTGGCTTTATACTATTTTAAAAGTATAAATTATTGCTCTGGCTTTTAAATTATTGAACATTTACTAGAAACACATCAAAAGATTCATATGGTAACATGCTTTCATATTTATATAAAATATAATTATGAGTAAATTACATATAATTTAATATTATGCTACATGCACTATAGATCCTATATAAATGTATGGTATTCCCTCCCCGTCATGAACAGCTTATAGAAATCCAACACTACCAGTCTTTGATAAAGAAATAGAATAAAAATAGTTGCAATGTTAAATATGAGTTGAAATTAGATTCACTTTTAATGGCTTTACACCCAGGAAGAAGTTTTTAAGAAAATAACCTTCAAAAAATGGCCATGATTTTCCAAAGGAAACGGGACCATTTATCCATAAATACACACATCATTCCTATTTAAAAATAAATACCCTAAATATTGCCTGCCACAACTCAAATCCTATCATTAGCAAGCGCTTCTTGCAAAGAGCCATTTCATTAAATTAATACATAGGAGAAGGTATTAGGCATATACCCTACTTTAGGGAAGAAAAAATACAGAAATAAAAGGGTGGGAAGAGATGTTTTGCATCCCAGCTTGTAAAGTCCAATGTTTTCCCCAATATGAAAATAACTTTTACCGCTCCGCTGATGAAAACTGGATCTAAGCAAATATGGCAAGTCCCTGGACAGTTGTGTTAGCACATGGGTGGCAAACCAAAAACAAAACAGAACAAAGCAAATAGTGGCTACTTAACTTGTGAAAGAAAAGTGGCAGATTGACTAAATCAGAAAAAAAGATTTAAGACAGCATGGCCGCATAAATAATAATTAAACATAATTATATAAAGAAATAGCTCATTTACTATAAATAGGTTTACCGTTCAAAAAAGAAGAAGAAGAAGCAAAAATAGCATTATCAGGTATCAAGGAGTTGGTTATCTCAAGTTCCATTTGCAAGTATTTGCCGAGCACAGGGACTATTTATTGTACCTTTCCTGTATGTTTTTGGGCCTGTTACTGGAAAAACAGAACAGAATCCTGAAGTCATAACACAACAATTAAAGCAGTGTAGGTCACTCGTGATGCCCTCAAATCGGAACTGTATTTAAATACCTAATTTAATATGAGTTCACCAGGGAAGCAGCAATCCAAGTGTGTAACTTTGTTTTATGGATCAGTTGCCAGGTACATGGTGTGTTTATTGTTGACCTATCCCAGGACTTAATAAAAGTTCATTCACTCTACCAAGATGCACCTACCAAAGATACAGCCTTCACTGGTAATAGCATCACGTCATGTGTCCTGCTCAGCACAAATGCCAAATGCCTCCACAGGAACTTAGGATGAATGACTGACTTTCTTTTTAGGCACCAGTAGCTTTTCTTTTAACCTCCAGGACTCAGCTGTGTTTGAACTGTGATTTAACTATTTTAAATTTTGATCAAGCAAATGCATTATCATTTTTTTTAATATTTATTTGTGCATACAGAACTGGGGTACAGGCCAGAGGTGCAGGGGCGGTGAGAGGATTCACCAGAGACAGAGTGAGGAGCAGAACAGGCAGATCGTGGAAGTATACACTGCTGAGGGGAGCAGCGGGCGGGTCAGGAGAGGTCTGCCGCACCATGTGGTCACCTCCGGGGCAGACAAGAATCGAACTCATGTGGAAGTGGCTTAAGCTTCTCAGTGCTGTGCTTCAACCCGCTGCACCACCAGGGAGGGCCCATTGTCATTTTTTTAAGTTACAAATATTGCACAGATGGAAATGCACATCCCTCCTCCAACTCTTTACAACCTCAGCTCTATTTTCCAGAAATAATCCATTTCAACTCTTTCAGTTCTTTTTAAGGTATCTGATTTCTCCTCCATGCCAAGATTTGCACGTACTGCTCTTTCAAGAGTGACCATTTTTACATGATCACAGTTGATTTTCTATGAGGTTTGAGTACAACTGTGTTCTGCCTCTACTTTCCCTCCCTCCATCCTTCCAGTTACTACTTTTGGTTAAGCCACTGGTTACTGTTTCTTTCATAATGTTCTGAAGTCAGTTTCCCCAAAAGTGTCAGAGGGATTCTGCTAAATAAGCAAGAGTTCTCCTCTTGTTTCCTTGACTAGATTTCAAACAAGGCTCTGTGAATGTCAAGAATTCTATTATCGTTCATGGATACAGATAGTTTTGAGTTGAGAAAGTTGAGGGCACTGAAGGATACCAGAAAATTCTGATCCTGCCTTTTACTAATCAAAGCAGCAAACAGTGGTCTAACTTTTATGATCTAATCCAGTTCCAGGTTTATCAGTAAACAGGTTCTCGCTAAGCATCTCATTTTACCCTCAGTCAGGAGGAGCTCACTCCTTTTGTCATGGAACATGCCTCTGTTCTTGATGGCCAGGTCCCAAAACACAGGGTAAAGATTCTGGTCTGCTGCGTTCTTAAAGCTTTACAGCCACATGAAGAGTCCACAGGCATGTTATTGTTTTTCCTGTATTGACTCATCTGGTGATGTTCTTATGACTCCACCAGGCTGAGAATAGCCCAGAAGGATTCAAGATGACTTAATTTGTAGCCCAGCAATGTCTGTGACTTGGTACTCACACCTGTGCCTACTAGTGACCTATAATGACCTTTTCCTTTTTCTAAATTACATTTGGTTTTGCTTTTTCCTGGAGATTAAATCAATAATTTTCATTTTACAATTACTTTATCTTTTCGTTTAGTTATTTATAACTAGTTCTATTTCTTCTTTATATGGGATTGTATCCCTGTCTGAATACAGTTGTCCACATGATCAGATGTTCATTCATTTATTTGCCAAATCAGTAAATATAGATTTATTTAGGGTTGTTCCCCCTGTACCTCCTTTCTCACTTTCCTCTCTTCTCTTCTCTCCTCCTCCTCTGCTTCCTCCCTTTCTCTCCTCCCTCCTCCTCCTCTCTTTCTCTCTCATCAATGAAGCTACTATAGCTGTGCTTACAACAGGACACCTCGGGTTAAAAATAGTAATGTCTGCTTGAACTGAGATCAGCAGTGAGTTGACCTTATTATCTGATGCAGGAAAGTTCTTTTGACCTTCCTGCTTTCAACTGAGTGCTTCTCACCAAACATTCACTTATGACTGGTACCTCAGTCTATAGAGTTTCTTAAAAACACTTGAGATTTATATTTACAACCCTGTGAATTTCCTGATCTGTGGAATGCATCTCTGACCTCATTCTCAGCGTGTATTTATGTGCTGGTATCTGTTGCTGTGTAACAAAGCATCCTAAACTTATCAGATTAAAAAAACAAGCATTTATCATCTAGGTCTTGGGGTTCAGGACTCTAGGAGTTGTCTAGATGGTACTAGAGATGACTGTCAAGATTTCCATTGGGATGGCTTCACTTAAAGGTTTAAGTAGGACTCACCATGTTTTTGGTGTCTTCGTTCAAAGAAGGCTTTTGAAACAAGGTTTCGTTTTCTCCAAATAGGGTTTTCCAGGGGACTCTTTAAGGAAGGACAGAGAGAGACTGTCAGAGGAGGAAGGCGTATGCTTTTATAACACAATGCTATAGTCAGGCACTAACACTTCTGCCATATGATGCACCGACTCCATCAGGACAAAATGAGGAGATCCAGGAGTCATCCTTGGAGTCTGGCCTCCACAGTCTACTTTCTGCATTTCCTCTTATTTGTGAAATTTGGGGAGGAAGAAGCTATAAACATATACATTCAACTTATCATTTCTAATGAAAAATATACAGTAGGTCTTTAAGGCAGGGCTTGTTGAGGGAGACATGGAGGTTAGTGCATCAGTAGGGAAATTGCCACACTAAATGGTTTTTACATTAGATCTATCTCTACAATGGAAAAAAAAAATAAAAAACCTTGAAATACCAAGCAGTCAAAAATATAACCAAATTTATCCCATGCCAATTGAATTACTCATAGAAATTTGACAGTTAGATCCACATACTACCTGCTATTCTAAAACCCTGACTAATACAGATGAAATTCTACCTGCAATTTCTATTAAAGGAATGCTGGGCATTTAAACTGAATTTTCTGGGACTAGCTGTTTTCTGCATTTCTTACTTTTTATGTTGTTAAGAAGAAAGCTTTGGCCAGAGGCGATGTTCTGGAATGAGAACATGATATACAGATGCTTTTTCTCAGTGGTATGAAGAGAATATGTTCTTAATAATGCAAAAATTGCAAATTGATTGGTTAAGTCAGCCTTTTTTTGAGATTGGGACTAAGGATAATAGGAGATATAATGTTTGATGAAGCCCATTTTGTAACCTTTTCACTTTTAGGGCAGGGGATGGGTGGCCAATGTAATAAATGCAAAATATAAACTCAGATTTTGTACAACATTACCACAATGTAAAATGTTATGCTATCAAACTAACAACACTTGCACCTTTAACTTTTATAGTTTAAGTTTCCTTTGATTTTCAAGAATTCAAATCACATTGGGTATGTGATTGGTTATTAACTGCCAACATATCAACAATAGAGTCTTTTACAGTGGGTGATATACTATTTTACTATTTTATGCTGCAAGTACATCAAGACATTTACGTGCGATCATGTAAATCAACATACATTTTTAGTAAAACTGATTTCTGTGGTTATCGTCCAGAAAGTTGTATCATTGACAATGCAGATGAGCAGCTGATAAAGCTGAAGACACTGACACAAACATACTTGGTATGTTACAATGTACAGTTTATTAATAAGAAGCACTCTGTTCAGTAACTATGGAAACTTTTATAAATACATTACATGACACATTCATATTGATGTAAATATATTACATGGCGCTGCCACATCAAATAAAGACCTAAGTGTAGAAGACACTGGCATGGCCTCTGACCTCTATAGGTATAGAGAGGGTATGTTGCAGAAGTCATACATTTCTTCCAGGCAATTAGGAATTAGCTCAGGTGTTCATGAATCACTAGGAAGATGTCTTGACAGCTTTTATTAAAAAAAAAAAAAAAAAAAAAAGGAAATCACAGTTTTAGGAGTGCGTTGAAAGCACTGTTTACTTGCAAGAGTATAGAT